CGGGGAGGAGGCAGCGCCAGGCCCAGGGCACCTGGGGGTACTTGAGCCTCCGGGCGAGGGCAGAGGGGAGGGGCCCACTTACCTTCCCTCCCTGTCCCACCCCCAGCAACTGAATGCCATCATTGCGGCCTCAATGTCCATCAAGTCCTCTGACAAACTCCGCCAGATCCTGGAGGTGAGAGCCCAGGATGGGGGACCAGGAGGTGGCGCCCACCCTGCCCGGGCCGTGTGAGAGGGAGAACCCGGCCCTGCCCGTTATGAGAATAACATTCCTTCTTCTCGAGGACATGTTCAGAAGGACAAAGCCAAGGCGGGGTGGTGATGGGGGTCGCCATGTCTGTAACCTGGGACCCTGCCAGGGGCACAGCCCTCTCATTCTGGAAGTAGCGGCACATTTGCACATGCGCAGTGAAGCGAGCCCGTAGAGATGGCTGTTAGAAGGGCAGCAGCCACATGGCCCGGAGGGGATGCTGGCCACAGGCTTTGGGTCTGAGCCTAAGATTGGATGTGTCCACGATGCTAACTGCACACATGTGAGACTTGTACACGTTTGCACGTTCTGGACCGAGAGGGTCCCTGCGGGAGCACAGCTGGAGTGGAGTGTGTGGCTTGCTCTTTTCCTTCACGTGCAATATATGCTCAGGGGTTTCTCAGCGCCGGCACCCACTGAGTCTCTCCCCTGCCACCCCAGATCGTCCTGGCCTTTGGCAACTACATGAACAGCAGCAAGCGTGGCGCAGCTTATGGCTTCCGGCTCCAGAGTCTGGATGCGGTGAGGAGGGGCTCCTGGCCTGGGGGCTGGGGGCTGACCGCTGGCCTGTGGCTCACAGTGGGTCCTTGTGCAGCTGCTGGAGATGAAGTCGACTGACCGCAAGCAGACACTGCTGCACTACTTGGTGAAGGTCATTGCTGAGAAGTACCCAGAGCTCACGGGCTTCCACAGCGACCTGCACTTTCTAGACAAGGCGGGCTCAGGTGTGGGGTGAAAAAACTGTTGTGGTCGGGAGAAGGGAAGGGGACCACGGGATGTAACTGGGTGGGAGGACTGCTTCTTGATTCTCTGACTCTGTGCTACGCTGCCCCCCACCCAGTGTCCCTGGACAGTGTCCTGGCGGATGTGCGTTCCCTGCAGCGAGGCCTGGAGCTGACCCAGCGGGAGTTTGTGCGGCAGGACGACTGCGTGGTGCTCAAGGAGTTCCTTAGGGCCAACTCACCCATCATGGACAAGCTCCTGGCAGACAGCAAGACCGCTCAGGTGAGCTGGGGCTGGCCCAGGACTGGGGGTGGGGGTAGGGGGAGCCTGGGGAGGAGCACTAGGTGGGGGTTGTAGCCAAGTCTGGAGGGGCGCGTCCACAGCCGAGACCTCTTGAGGGGATGGAGCAGGAGCCAAGGGACCCTTGCCTGGAGAAGGAACAATGAGGCAGGGTGGCCAGTGTCCTGAGGGGTACAGGCTGTGAGGTCTGTGCCCACAGGAGGCCTACGAGTCTGTGGTGGAGTACTTTGGAGAGAACCCCAAGACCACATCCCCTGGCCTGTTCTTCTCCCTCTTCAGCCGCTTCATCAAGGCCTACAAGGTATGTGTGTGTGGGGACGGGCTGGGGGCCCTGCCGGGCACTGATGCCTCTCCACGGGGTAGTGGCAGGTGGGGCTGCTTCTGTCTAGGAAAGTAGGGAGGGCTGCCCTCATGGAGACCTCCTTGGCCCCCAGAAAGCCGAGCAGGAGGTGGAGCAGTGGAAGAAAGAAGCAGCTGCCCAGGAGGCAGGCACCGATGCTGCGGGCAGAGGGGAGCCCCCGACACCCAAGGTAGGCGCCGGCCCTGGGCTCCAGGGATGTGCGGCACCCCCCAAATCCCATTACAGACAGACCCCGCCCAGGGCAAGGACGGTGCCGGGGGCCTGGGATGGGGATGGCTTCCTCCTGCTCCAGCCAGCTGCCCTTGTGGGGGACCAGGCAGGTGTTCTAGGGTTTGGTGGGGTGCTGCAGCCATCCATTCCCCCCAGTCCCCACCCAAGGCTCGGAGACAGCAGATGGACCTCATCTCCGAGCTGAAACGGAAGCAGCAGAAGGAGCCGCTCATCTACGAGAGTGACCGTGATGGGGCCATCGAAGACATCATCACAGGTGAGGGGTTGGCCAAGCCTCTCTCCTGTCCTGTCTGTTCTTCTGTGCTGTCCTCTGTCCCAAGCCCCCACCCCCTGAGAGTCTGGCTGCCTCACTGCCTCTTGCTACCTTTTCTGTTTTTCTTTCCTTTTTCCTTTCTCTACCTCCTTCACCCGGCCCCACCCTCAGTGCTCAAGACGGTGCCCTTCACTGCCCGCACCGGCAAGCGGACTTCCCGGCTCCTCTGTGAGGCCAGCCTGGGAGAGGAGATGCCCCTCTAGCCCCCCAGGTACCAGAGGCCACAGCCCTGGGGACCCAGGGGGGACTGAGTCAAGCTGCCCTCTCCTGGCCAGTGCCTGGCTGGGATGTGTTTCAGGGGGGCCTGGCAAATGTAAACAGTGCCCCCTCCTATATATGCACAGGCTGGTTCCTTGGAAGGGTGAGCCTGTGCCCTGGAGCCAAGGTCCCAGCTCTGGACAGACTCCCCAAGGACAAATGTGCCTTCTTTGGCCCCCAGATCTGCGGAACCAGCCCTACATCCGCTCAGACACAGGCCGCCGCAGTGCCCGCCGGCGCCCCCCGGGCCCCACGCTGCAGGTCACCTCTGACCTCTCGCTCTAGCCGCTATTTCCGCAGGTGGATTCTGCAGGGGGCTGGGGCTGTGGGCAGGCTGGGGCTCAGGGAAGGTGGTCCTCAGCTCGGCTGGGCCAGGTAGCGCCCTCCTCCGCTGTGGCCCGCCTCAAATGGGCCGGCGCTTCCTCCTCTTGCAGCAGAGGGCAGCATCGCCGGCCCCTTTCCCCAAACGCTGCCAGCAGCACCCCCTCCCCCCAAATAGCCATACTTAGCCTCAGCAGGAGCCTGGCCTGTAACTTACAAAGTGCACCTCGCCCCCACAATCCCCAGCTCCCAGGACTCTCCGTGGACCTTATTTTTATACGAGATGAATAAAGATGTTTGCAAGAGATCCGCGTCGGCTCCGCGCCCGCCCCCACGCGCAGCCTGCGCGGCCCAGCGACGCTTCACTTGGGCGAGCCCTTCACGGCGGGGGTCCGCAGACACGGCGGCGAAGGGGAGAAGGGCTGCTCACGCCCCAGGGTTGGCGGGGAGGGCGCCTGCCTCGAGGGGCACAGGTGCCCTCGGGGCTGGCCCGCGAACCCTGAGGCCGGGCAGAGGGCCGTGCGGGGGGTCCAGCTCGGGTTAGACGCGCCGGGTTGGCGCGCCTCGGTCGCCTTCCTGCCGCCCCGTCCCATGTGCGCCAGTCCCGCCTCCTACCTGGGCATAGTGCCCCTGTTCTGTTTGCTCCGCCCAAGCCTTAGTGACGCCGAGAATGAGCTCGGCTTTCCTCTCCGCAGACCCGCCTCCATTTCCGACTGCTCGGTGCCCACTTCTTCCCGCCTTGTTCCTTCTCTTCACCCGCCCCCGGCGCGCAGCCCACGCGGCGTCTGTCCCGCCTCCGCCCCTGCTGCCCTGCCCTTGCTCTCTCCGCCCCTTACCTGCGTGTCCCGCCGCTGGGGCTCTGGCCACGCCCCATAGGTCTGTCTCTCCGCCCTTGCTGCCCGCCCCCATACCTGCTTGCCCCCCCATGCTGGCCACGGCCTATTTGTTCCACCTCCGCGTCATCTGCCCCGCCTTTGCTCTCCCGTCCCTTAACCGCGTGTCCCTTATCTGCATGCCCCGCCCCTGGCCCTCTGGCCACGCCTCATCGGTCTGTCCCGCCTCCGCCCTTTCCCACCCTCCCTTGCCCTCCCTGCCCCCTTATCTGCATGTCCCGCCCCCGCTTGCGGGCTACTCCCCGTCTGTTCTGCCTTCCCGTCATCTGCCCCGCCCCTCATCCGCATGTCCTTCCCCCTGGCCACGCCCCATCGTCTGTCTCGCCTCTTCCCTACAGGTCCCTCTTTTGCTCTCCCCGCCCCCTTATCTGCATGCCCCGCCCCCGCTTGCGGGCTACTCCCTGTCTGTTCTGCCTTCCCGTCATCTGCCCCGCCCCTCATCCGCATGTCCTTCCCCCCCTGGCCACGCCCCATCGTCTGTCTCGCCTCTTCCCTACAGGTCCCTCTTTTGCTCTCCCCGCCCCCTGATCTGCATGCCCCGCCCCCGCCCGCTGGTCACGCCCCACCGGTTCTGCCGCCCGTCATCTGCCCCGCTCTTGTCCTCCCGCCCCTTATCCGCATGCCCCGCCCCTGGCCACGCCCCATCTGTATGTGTCGCCTCCGCCCTGTCGCTCCCGTTCCTGCTCTCCCCGCCCCCTGATCTGCATGCCCGCTCCCGCTCGCTGGCCACGCCTCACCTGTTCCGCCTCCGCGTCCTCTGCCCCGCCCTGGTCCTCCTCGCCCCCCATCTGTGTGTCCTGCCCTCGCTGGCTCTCACCTCCGCAGGGCGGCCCCAGGGTGGCCGAGAGCTGGGGGCGGCGGGGTCAGTTCCGCGTCTTGCGTTCCGGCCGCGCGCTGTCCTCCACGTGGGGTGTCTGAGAGCAGGGCTGCGCGCGCTCGGGCGAGCCCCCGGGGGAGGGCGGAGTAGGTAGTCCTGAGCGCAGGCCCTGGGGGTCGGAGTCGCGGCGGGGTCGTGTATGACTGGCAGAGCCCCCCTCCCGCGGGTCCCCGTCCTCCCCCGCCCCACCCCCCCGGCCGGGGCGCACCCGCTCTGTGCAGCCGGTGCAGCGAGGCACCAGCTGACAGCTGGAGAGGCCGCTGAGACGCGCGGCCTGGCAGAAGGTGAGGCCGGTCGCGGGACCGCCCCTCCGGCCCCTCCGGCCCAGGCTCTGCCACGGAGCCCGCTGCTTCTGGAAGCAGTCGCTTGGGGGAGGAAC